TGAAACTAGTTTTATCTTTATTAATTACACATGTAAGAGATATCCTTCTTGTTACGAATCACACGTTTTTAGTCGAGCGTGATACAAGTTACTAAATATGTGAACTTAATTGCTATGGGAAAATAACCCCGATATCACTAAAAACTTGATTAAATCATTACAAGTGGATTATTATTTTTATCACTGACAGATTCTGTGTCACCGGAAAATTAAGTACTTAACGGAAATTTATTACATGTTGCTAATCCGGTTAGAGACGATCTTCTCGTCTATTGCATTCAAAAGTATGCGCCAATTGTTATTTTTTTCTTTCTCTTCAGATTTTTCCAATATTAAACAATACTGTTTAAATCTTTCCATGTTTTTAACCAAATTCTTTCAAATAATAACAATTAGCTTAAACTTTTTAATGTGTTGATTCTTTTTTATCTTGTTTACGGCATTTTTTTCTCATTTGGAAATTTACGACCAAATTATTGAACAGTATGATGTAAATAATCCTTATACGTATTTTATACAATAGCTATATGTAATATAATAATTATTTTTTAATGAATAAATAATTAAAACATCACAAAAATCTGCAAGTTATTGTGACCTAGCCCCAGGTCCTGTAGTTTTTTTATAATTTTTTAAACAAACATACGTAGGCGGCTCGTAGTTTGAGTATATGGGGGCAATTACAACAACAAAAACTACAATTTATTTATAATAGCATACAGGAAGAGTTGTAAACATTGAACCGGTTTGTTTTTTATTATTTATACCTACATAAAGTGTGATCGCAATAATGAAATAATTTTTGTTACAAAATACAAAGTACCTACAGTTGCGGAATTAAAATTTCGGGCAGTACTTTTCTGTCACTTAAAAAAGTTCACTGTAAATCTCGCTGTAAACTTCCTTTTACTGTCATCATGACTGACATTTGACAATTTCTGTAGGTGACGTTATTTTTGAAATTAAATAGCTAAGTCAAAATGACATAAACATGACAAGTGTAAAAAATGAATGAGGTTATTAATGTAAAGGTTGTTTTAGAGTTTACATTATGAAAATGACAATACTGATCGAAATTTTAATTCCGCAACTGTACATACAGGGTGCTTCAGGACTCGCGCCCCAGAGAAAAATGTCATGTAAGATACGACACCAGAAATATGGAAAAAATGTTTAAAAAATTCTATCTGTCAAAAAAGTTTGACATTTATTTTTTGACATTTGACATTTTTTTATTTCTATTTAATGATAGTGATGATCTTGTATTTTTTTTATAATTATTTACTAAAACTACAAAAATTTTGCTAATAAAAGCCACAAATAACATTAAACAGGATACATCCACATTTAGGATACATCCACATTTTTCTAGGTACCTTTTTGTACAAAAATTAAGTTATTACAATTTGTAGATCAGATTTTTCAACTCAAGCAATGACAAAACTAGACTCTAGTTTCTTCACTATACATATGTTCTATTTCGAATTTTTTTCAATTTTTTTCAAAATGAACAAATATTGGTATAGACGCCATTTGGTCTGTCTTTATGACAACTCATTTTATTTCACGATTTGGGTGAATTTGTCTTCGTTTCCTAAACAAACCACCCCTCTCACCAAGTCGTTCTCAAACAGGCGTAATGAGCCCAAATTCCATGTTAATACCCTTCGAGGTTTTAAAGTAACTTCCAGCTTACTGTTTCCCTTGTCAGAAGCTTGTCATATTAAAACTGACGTTCTGACAGGTCGAAAATCTCTCGTCAGACTTTCCTCCCCAAAAAATGGATCAATCCGCGTTATTATCTCAGCCTGGTATCATCGCACGAGGCGTGGTAGTGAAAAAATTCGAACAAAAGCGGCCATGTTGTCTAAATGGATATGTCGCGTTTGTTTCCATGGCCTGCGCCGCTGTACAAAGGGCACTGCATCGATACATGGTAATTAGGGCGGTACTCCAGTCATATGATACCATCGCTAAATTTGAATACTAAATGCACCTAGAAGCGAGTATGACTTAATATTTTATTTTCTAGCATGATTGTGCCGTTTGTGGGGGGCTTGAAAGTGATCTCTTTCGAAGCTTTTGTGCCCCGGGAGCAATTATGGGACAAACAAAGCTGAGGAAGAATGCGAGCAGATCGGTTTCATTCAGTTTTAGAAAAATGCGGGAGCATTTCTGAACCCATGGTGTAACATGAGCGGCCTTTTGTCAGGATCTGCTAATAGTCAAATAGGTAGATTGTTCGAATACAGATGGGTCAAATACTGAACGCTTCGCGAGAGTTATTCTCTTCGAATAATTAGAAGTCGCTCATGTGTGCATGTATCAAGAGAACAAAAGCGATTAAAGTCATTGTCTATACGAAGCGTAATAATTTGCAATATATCTTCACTGTAATGTTCGGTCTTTGAAGGCAGTCGATGTTAACAGGCTATTCTCTAAACAAACTCGATTAGCATTAGCCAGGTCTCGTTACACACCCCGAAGCGTTCATTTCAATACCTAATCGAGTTAATTCGGTGTATGAGTTTTGGTAGCGGCGACGAAAGATGTGGTAGAACCCGACTTAATATCAACCACAACCTCTTTCAGCCCGAAATAATCAAATAAAAATTTCATTAAGCCAACGATCAGAATTTAATCAAAACAACAGTACACAAACTACAGAAATAAACAAACAGGAATAAAGTATTCTATTTAATAGAAGATAGTTTTTTGTAACTTTTTAAAGCGTGTAGTAAATCTGACAACAGTGCGGCTGAATAGTTTGAGGAAGCTTGAGAAAAAAATTCGTAAATATTCGGAGTTGTTTTCAGTCTATTGAAATTGTGATTAAAATTTGTTATTATGGTATCAATCCCAATATTCGTAGCTTTAACAAAACTACAAAAAAACAAGATTGAGATATTAATTAATTAGTTAACTTAAAAGCAATTTTAATCTAATATTTTTTCCGAAATCATCACTAAAGTTAGATAAAATTGACAGTAAAGAGTTTTAAATCGGCATTAAAGGTTCTCATTATTTTTCAATTTTGTTGCGAACATTACGAACAGTGTATAGTCAGGTTACTGCTAACGTGTTTACGTGTATGAGAAATATTTTTTTTGAGAACATACTCGTAGAGTTACTCGAAAAAATGCTGAATATAATATTTTAGAACAATTTAAAAAAAAACTCTAATTTATACAACGTGAAATCTAAATTTTCAGTAATTCATAACATTTATTTTGGCAATATGTATCGGGTCTTTTTTAAAATTCGACGTCAAAGTCGGCTTTTTTCAAAATTGAATGAATCCACCAAGATTACCAAGATTAAGATTACCAATGAAGATGGTTAATTTTGTGCATACTAAAATTGTAATTGTAAAATTATATTGGTTTGTTTATATGTTCATAGTGTGTTCACAACGAGCTTGTCACGGCCAACTGCGACATCGAATTTTAAAAAAGACCCGTTATACTTGCCTATAGTACCTACAAAAGAAGAAAAGAGTAAACAAACAACGACCAAAAAAATATATACAACAGTGGTTAATGTAGGTAATACTCGTATTGCAATAAAAAATGTAAGAAGATAGTACTTGTTTAAATATACAAAATGTTTCAAGCTATTGAGTTTGGAAAATAGGTATTTTATCTTTAATTAAAAAAAAATCAGTTATACCTAATACCACTAGTCAAAAATTGTTCAATATTTTTATAAATGGTTTTTTTTGAAAAGTAGGTAGGAATTTTATCTTTAAAGTAAAAAAATATTCTGTTATAATTTAAATTTGTTTGTCGTTTTAAAGTATCTGGGATACCTAATAACAATAACAAATCTCTTTCAACAATTTTGGACTGTTTTGAAAATGTGGAAAACAAAATAGATATTATGTAATAGAAAATTTAAAGCATCTTCGACATTTTAAAAATGTGTATTATTTTCAAGGGATGCACTCGCCCTGATGCACCCACGTAGTCGACGCTCGTGATAACTTCATACTGTAAAGGCTAATTTCATAATAGACTTTCTTTTGGTTTAGAATGTGAGATTTTTCAAAATCATAGCAACTACGGGTATAACATTTCAAACACTACTCAACTTAATGGATAATGGTTTTCAAATTCGATTATAAAATCGGTCCCTAAACTAATAATACTATATTATTCAACAACTATATTATTCATAATGATGGCTAATAATAGTTATTATGTACGAGTAGAATAAGACGTTTTATCTACGATTTTTTAATAAAATACTTTCTACTTACAAAACTTATATTTGTTATAATGACAGATCTGTGACTTATGATGATAAGTCACGGATGTAACGCCGGCAACCAACACAATATTGACAAACTGTGACTTATGACAAGTGTGAATTATGAGTAGCATAATGTATTTGTAGTTAGGTAAATAACAAACATATTATTTAATAATCGTAGAAAAATCTGTTTTTTACACTTTGATTACATTTTAGCAAAAGTTGTAAAAACTAGTTGACAACAAATGGCCTGAATTTCAGAGAAAAAAACGAACCTACTAGGTTTCCAGAGAAGTAGTTGTTCTCTGTTCAAAATAATTAGTTTCTTAAAATTTGAATGCTGGAACTGTCATTCTAATGACAATTTTAATGGACTACAACAGAAAATGTTTAAAAACCATTGAATGCATTTGTAAAAAATGCAATGGAAATTGCTGCGTGCTGCTGGCTAAGCAAGATACACCGAAAAAATATCAATCCCAAAGCATTACTTGCTGCACTTACTTTAGTCAATCTATGATTTGAACTAGAAATTACTTAATACCAACATCAACAACAGCTAGATCACATAATGTCTAGAAAGTCTAGTAATGCGAGCTCTAAAGATTTTTGTCGTTGATGAGTTAGTAAAAAAAAAAGATTCTTGACTTGTTTATCAAATGAAAAATTTTTTTGGGTGATTTATTAAGTTTTAACCAATTTATTGGTTGCATTTTTCGCACTTCTTAAGTTTCCATTTTTTTCCCCAGAATGCAGCAGCAGCAGCTCGCCGCGCAGTTGGCCCACCACGGCGGCAGTGGTCGTCAGCCGCCCCTTAGCCCCACGCCGTCTGACAGCGACTCGGACATCTCCCTCGGAGCGCACTCACCCCCCATTTCATCCCCAGGTCCTATGCGTTTCTCCAACTCTCCAACACCCATAACCAGTTTTCGTTTCGGCCCTCATTCCCCCGGCCCCATGCCCCCCCAATTCCGCTTCGGCAATCACTCCCCGCCCGGCTTCCGTCAAGACCGCAAATCGAGGAACTCGTCCCCAATCAACGTCGACACCACATCGAATTACAATAATTCAGCTGTCAATTTGAGATTAACATCGAACGAGTCGCCCATCGACGTCGATTCCACGCAGGAGAAGAGTCACAGCCCCATAAGGGTGGACAGCTCGCCACCACCGATGAATTTGAGGATACACAGTAAGAGTTTTCTTCAATTCTGTTATGTTTTTTTAATTTTTGGGGTGTGTTTAGGTGATAATACGAAAATTGAGACGCCACTGGCGCTGCGTCTGACGTCGAGTCATCAGCTGACGACGCCTTTAAGAATCCAAGTGGCGTCGCCGAACCGGATGGCAGTGCCGCCGTCGCCGCCTCACACAAGCCTGCACCTGGGGACCCCCCATGGAGGTATAGTTAGAATAGCACCGCCGAGTCCCTCCAATCCCCCCGTGCTTCATCGGCCTTTCTCGCCGCCGAGACTGACGTGATATATACCGTACGAATGGGAGGAGAAACTGTGAATATTTAAAAACTTTATTCGGATTTTTGCTGCAATATTTCATTATTTATTGACACTTGCTTTTAACTAAATTGTGTATATGAAGTATACGTGTGCGAGCGAACTAATTTATGGACTCTATCAATTCTGTGTTCAGTGGCAATTTGTAGATTGTATATGGCATTAACTATATTTCAATTTATAATAGATGAATTTAGTCAAAATGCACTGAACGATGACTTTTTAAGTACCTAATTCACCTTCTTGACAGTAAATATTGTATTTTTCGGTCATGATTGATGAGGTTCAGTGTTTCAGCATTGTATAGAAAAAGAAAAGGCATGTTCGCATATTATTTTTTTGTAGATATATATATTTTATTTTAAGGCGATTTTATTGATTTCTCGATTGTATATAAAATACATATTACACAATGACATTATACTTGTGGTGTTTCATTTTCCGATATTTCCTCTTCGAAGAAAATTACGCGCAGACCTGTTATTATATTCTGAATACAGTCACTTGACAATAAAAGTAAACTGTCGACGATTTTTCTTTCAGTTGACATTTTAATTAGGTAAGTAATCGATTTTCCAACAACCTCATATTTTGCGACACATTATTAAAAAAAGGTTTTAAAACAAAATATAAAGCTAATAAATTGACTCAGAGAGTCTCTAAACACCGAAGAACTAAGACACTTCAGCAAAACACTGAAAATAACTATTCAAATGGTTATGGACAGTCAAAGTAATTATACAGAGTGTCCCAGAAATCACTGAACGGAGAGACAAGACAAGACAAACGTAATGCCAAACAACTTCTCCGTCACGAAATATACATACAGGGCGTTAAAAAAATTGTAAAATATTTAAGGAGGTATAATATTATGGACCAAAATAAACAAAAATAAATATGGGTCTGCAAAGTAAGGGTTTCGGAGATATCGAACGTGAAAATTGTAGGAATGTATACTAGCTCCTCTTTTTTGTTTGAACAGATTGCAAATAAATGTTTTAAAAAACGAATAATCTTCGATATCTCCGAAACTGTTACTTTGCGGACCCATGTTTATTAGGACGTTTTTGTATGTTTTGGTCCATACTATTACCTCCGGAAATATTTTACAATCGTTTTTTAACACCCTGTATAACACTTGTTTCAAATAGTAATAAAAGTTAAGGTTAAATTAATTACTTTAAAGTAATTACGTTAAAGTAATTACTTTTTGCATATAGGTAACAGTAAAAAAAAGTGGTACTTAACAACTATAAATTTACACGAAAAACAAAGTTTTAACTTAGGTTTCCCACAACAATTTGAAACAGACTTTACACCCAAACAAAATGTATAAGTTATGAACCGACCTATTATATATTTTGGTATGCAGTATACCTAGAGATCAATTAAAATATTTTTTTTTTATTTTAGTTTAAAGATAAACAGTCATGTCCTTTAGCGTTTCATTTCCATAATGACACCCCCGTCTGCCACCCTTCAGTCGTAATGACCCTTTTATTTTTTCCACGTCAACTAAAAAGTATTACTGGTGTAAATGTTTTGATCAATATTAGTCCAGCTTTCATTCAAACCGTAATTGCGAATGGTAATTTATCACCGGTGATCGTATCAACAACCCATTGGTCAACTTCACCCACATTGCAGCTAATCACCAGATTTTTCGATTACCTAATCTAGTGTAGTCCAAATCTGGGACGCGACAAAAGGGGCGTGTCATAGTCAACAACAAGGACCAATCGCGCGTCTAGTTTAGCACCCAATGAAACTGATACCTCGGTTGGCTTCGCGGCCGGCGCAAGACCGCGATATCGAGACACACTCGGAATCAATTTCTCTCCAAAAGCAAAAAAACCGGGATTTGAATCAGCAGCTCTTTGTTTGTCCACTCGAAGTCTCGGTTTTCAAACCACTCCAAACAACAAGTCAAATAAAACTAAACAATGAGGCAGCAACATTCTTGCCTCTCATCCATTGACAGACGCATTAGCTTGGGATCTTGATTCGGCCTAATGCACACTTCGTGGTGGATTCTTTCCGATGAGTGAAGCGTTAGTGACACCCCGACTTTTTTCCTTTTGTTGGGTCTTAAGGGGAGATACCAACGATAGGTGAGAACAGTAGCCGACGGTGTCACTCCGGATTTGGTCAAATAACCGGAAAAAATCACCGGAATATCGAATAATTAAATCGGTAGAGTGTTATTAAGACCGGGAGTGGTCGACGTGTTAGATAAACACGACAGATAAAATACATTTACTTACAATAACATTTTGGGTGAAAAGGAGCAGCTGGCGTACCAGGTGCCACCATTAACAAAAATGCTCACTTTTACTTATTAATTTCGAAAATTAACACAATTTTTTAACCTGGGATATGTTACAAGAGCTTTTAGGATGCATAGCTGTGTGAGGATAGATATTGTGTTAATGGAGACGCAGTTGTCGTATCGACGTATCGGTGGTTAGGTAAACAGTGATTATGTGAGAGCAATGTGCTGGAAATAATCCTCAGCTAATGCCATTGCTGAAGGATTAGGACCACAGTTCGCACCTCTGAAGGTACACTGAATGAATATGAATAATGGACTGTTCTTCACAATACTGCCACCGGAAGAGGTTTAGCTATGGTAATTTGTGTTTTGTGGATTGTTATACCGGTAACACTACAAAACGAGGATTTTTCCAAAGCGAAACGCATCATTATGACAAAATTTGTAACTCGTTTGGGTGGAAATGACGTAGTAATCTGGGTCAATAATATGACAACAGCAGAAATAATAACTATCTGAAATCTGTTAAGCTGCTCCAGTGCCAAAGTTTCTCAATTTAATAATAATAACAATATTATATTTAGAATATGTCTCATTTTTAAACACGGTAAACTAAAGATAATATTAACTAAAATGTAAATAGGTAGATACTCAAATTATTATTAATTTATGTTATTAACAAACTATTGTTCTAAGAAGAAAAAATTCAGAGGTCTCTACACCAGATGCGCTATAGGTATAGGTTGGTGTACGTAATAAATTCAATAAATTCACTATTTAGTTCAATTGTATTAAAAAGTTAAAAATTGTTTGTTAGATTTTTTGAACCATTCAGAATCAAGTGATGCAACAGTTTGCTTTGTACGTAGATTCAAAAAACATCTGCTTTTTGCATTTTTTTCATTTATAACTTAATAAAACAATAAAGTTTGTTTTACCTGTGTAGACATTAATATAGGTACAAAAATAATACTTATACTAAAAAAAAAACAAGTAAATTCGTACAAATACATATATAAAATGTGTGGATGGTATATAGAGTGTCTTTAAAATAAGTGATCAAATTTTATTCAGTAGAAAATCTCTTCAAGATAAACGACGTTTCTTTCCATCATAATGTATTATGTGTTTTCAATTTGTTTTGCAATTTTGTGGTCTCATAGATTTTAAATAAATAACCAGGCAGTAACCACTGCCCTTGACAAGTCTTCTCCAGCTGCGGAAAAAAAAATACACTTTAAGTAACTATTACTAAATTCAGAAACTAACTGTTGTCAAGTTATGTAAAACTTGACAAAATGCCAAGATATGTATGTCAATTACAACGTATTTTATAGAAGAGTCTATATGTATATTAACAGCAACATAAGAAGTAAGCTTAAATGCACCATAGAAACAGTATAAGATATTAGTGTTAGAAAAACGTTTATTATTATTATTATTTTTTGTATTGTTGGTTTTTATTTTTTTATGTTTGCCTCTTTGTATCTTTTGAGTGATTTCTTCATTGGCAGAAACTAATCGAACTCCTTTTGATTGATTTTTTTATGTTTGCCTCTTTGTGTTATTTGAGTGATTTTTTCATTGGCAGAAACTAATCGAACTTCTTTTGATTTTGCGTTCGATGAGAAAAAAAAATAAATCGATAAAGTCACCAGTCACAATCGTTAATACCAAAGTACATACCTACTTATAATTTTTATATGTATACAGAGTGATTTTTATCCCACAGTAAGAAATTAATGCAAGTAAAAAATATGAAATAACTTTTAACGGTTTTTTATACTTTTTTGTAAAATTAAAAAAAATCCTATTCT